TTTTTTGTTATTGAGTTGTTAAGATATATATATATATATATTTAATTCTTAACAATTCAACAACAAAAAATCAAACATATATATATTCTGGATACTAATCCCTTATCAGATATAATTTGTGATTTCTATTTTCCTGTTCTGTGAGTTGTGTTTTTACTCTCTTGAGCATCTCCTGTGATACATTGTTGTTGTTGTTGTTAAGTGCCATCGAGTCGGGTCCGACCCATAGCGACCCTGTACAGGGTTTCCGAGGGTGTAAATCTTTACGGGAGTAGAAAGCCTCATCTTTCTCCCGCGGAGCGACTGGTAGTTTCGAACCGCTGACCTTAAGGTTCGCAGCCTGATTCGTAACCACTACGCTACCAGAGCTCCTGTGATACATAGAAGTGTTAAATTTTGATGAAGTCCAGTGTATCTGCTTTTTATACTATTGTCTGTGTTAAGAAACATTGCCATATCTAAGGTTATGAGGTTTCCCCCGTTTTATTCCAAGAATCTTCACAGTTTTAACACTTAGAATTAGGTCTTAGATCCATTTTGAGTGGATTTTATGTGTGGTATACAGAATTTCTTTTGCTTGAACAATGGCTAAGGAAAGAATTCGTTCAAATTTTTTAAAACTCAAATTCGGTTTCAAAACAGCTTGCTTTTTTACCAGGATAGTCTTGCTTCCCTTGAACTTGTGCCAGTGTCCCTGCCGTTGACTCTTTGGGGTTTGGCACTTCCCAGTCCAGAGCTGCTAATGATGCAACAGAAGGGTGTAGTGCCCCCATTGGGTCTGGCTGGCATTGGTCAGCAAGCACTTTTGCTCTGAGTAGAACAAATCTGTGTTGGAAGAAGTACAGCCAGAATGATCCTTAGAAGCCAGGATGACCAGGATGATGTAACTTTGTCTCTCATACTTCAGACATGTTGGACCAGTCAATGGAGAAGGACATCATGCTAGGTAAAGTGAGGGTCAGCAAAAAAGTGGAAGACCCCCAGTGAGGTGAATTGGCACAATAGCATAACAATTGTGAGGATGGCACAGGACTGGGCAGTGTTTTGTTCAGTTGTGCACAAGGTCACTCTGAGTTGGAACCAAATTGATGCCACCTAACAACAGTACTAATTCTGAGTAAGGTGACTGTAGGATAAGCACTAGACTGTGAATCACCAGGTCAGCAGTTTGAGCCTATAATCTCTCTGTGGGAGAAAGATGAAGTTTTCTGCTCCTGTGAAGATGTATAGCCTCATAAACCCCTATGCAGGCTTGCTGTGATTGGAAACAGACTCCAGGGGACTTAGCAATAAAACAACAGTACTAATTCCTGTTTGCCCGAGCTATTATAGTTACTTTTCTTTAAAAAGCAGCAGCATCTTTTTTTCTTGTTGATTTTATTTTGTGGTTGTTGTTGAGAGTTCAACTGTTTTCTACATGTACAGTTCAGTCATGGTGATGATATATATTCTTTGATTGTACAACCATTCTCATCGTGTTTTCTGAGTTGTTCCTCCTTCATTAACATAAATTTATTGCTCCCTAAGGTGCCTATCCAGTCTTTGAGGTTGCTGTTGTCAGTTTGTTCCCATATAGATAGCTATTAGGGATCCTGGTGTGGCACGATAGGATAAACAATGAACTACTAACCGCAAGGTTGCTATGAGTCAGAACCGACTTAATGACACTTAAAAACAATAACAAAAACTGCTCTTAAAAGAGCATAATGCTCACAGCAGATATTTTTTACTAGCTAAGTTAAACTATTTAGTTTCAAAAAAACTCCAGGGAACAATTTTAGTTTCAACGAACAGTTATTTCAGGGCAGTTGTTTCAGGGGTTCATTCAAACTTTCATGATTCCAGGAAGTTTGAAGTCCATTAAAATGTGAAATTCTGCCCTGTTTTTACCCTCTTTTGATCAGGATTCTTTAGAATTTTTTATAAAAAGTGTTCAAAATGGTGGTTGTTGTTGTTATGTGTTGTGGAGTCGGTTCCGACTCAGAACCCTTTCAGGGTTTCCGAGGCTGTAAATCTTTACAGGAGCAGAAAGCCTCATCTTTCTCCTACGGAACAGCTGGTAGTTTTGAACTGCTAACCCTGAGGTTAGCAGCCCAATTTGTAACCACCACAGTCTGTTCTTATGGCAGAGGAGGCAGTTGTACATGGAGGCAATTAGCTACACATTTCATGTCTCCCTCCTATGCTGACTCTCCTCCTTCCTTTGTTGCTCTTAGTGAATAGCGATCAACTGCTGTACCTTCTTGCAAGCCTTTAATGCCCCACAGACTACACAGACGAACTAGGAAGTAGAACAGAAGCACTAGACACATGATCAGTGGGAAGTCCCTAAGCCTTCAGGAACCAGTCTCATGAGGTTTGGGTTGTACCATTAGCTACTGTAAATGGTCATTTTTTTCATGATTTCCTTTTCAGAGCTCTCATTAGTGTAGAAAAATCAAACGATTTTTGTATGTTGATCTTGTACCCTGCCACTTTGCTGAATATTTCAATGAGTTCTAATTATTTTCTCACCCGATCTTTGGAATTTTCTGTGTATGAGAACACATGATTTACAAATAGAGTTTTACTTCTTCTTTGCAAATTTGGATGCCTTTAATTTCCGTTTCTTGCCTTATAGCTCTAGCTAAGACTTATAGCACAATATTGAATAGGAGCGGTGATAAAGGATATCCTTTTTGCAAGGGGAACACTTTCCATTTCTCTACATTGGTTTTGTATATATACCCATAATTGTGTTACAGAATTTTCCTATTTTGTTGAGTGTTTTTTATCAGGAATGAGTATTGGACTTGTCAAATGCCTTTTCTGCATCAATCAACACGATCATGTGGTTCTTCTGTTTTATTTATGTGGTGGATTATGTTGATTATTTAATGTTGAACCTTGCATACCTGGTATGACTCCTACTTGGTCATGATGTATTATTTTTTGGTGTGTTGTTGAATTCTCAAAGTAACATCTTTGCTTTTTAACACTTTAAAGAAGTGGTCTTTTGTAGCAGATTTGCCAGGTGCAAAATTTTCCAAGTGTTTGGTTTCTTGACTGTTTCTTCCCTATGCATTGTATGTGGATCCAAGTAAAACGAAATCCTTGATGTCAGTCTTTTCTCTGTTTATCATGATGTTGTCTATTGGTTGCGAGAATTTTGTTTTTGTTTTTTTAATTTTATTTTAAGGTTCATTTCTTCCCAAGCCATAAGTTTCTTCACTTTCTTCTGGGGTATCTTTTTCTTCTGTGTAACCTTCTCTTCTGGTTTAGGAACAAGTTCTTCCTTTTCAGTGAGTATCATCTCAATGTGGTGGTTGGAGCTCATGTGGGGTTGGTCTCACCATGAGCTCTGTAAGTTTGGCAGCACACCTTGCGGGGCTTTGTTGACCTGGATGTGCTTAGTGACTGGAGAATTCACATCTAAACCCTTAATTTCAACATTGTTCTCTGCATTTTTAAGCATGTGCAGCAAAAATTTAGCACTCTTTTTGGGCCACCAACCCTGTGTCCAGTCCCCATTTGGTCTGGGCACACCTACCAATGCCACCATGGTAATGTTGGAATGGTACACATTGCTTCTGCAGAGTGATATCTTTTAGATACTTGGTGACTTTTCAGATATGCATACCCTTGATGGCCTGGACAGTTTCACAGGTATTTTTAAAATGGACCCAGAGATTTGAACCTCTGGATTTGCATGATTTTGTGGAGTGTTCTAAGTCCAGTGAGTAGCGAACCATTTTGTGAGATTACCTCAGGCTGCTTATGGGAAGAACTGATTGCAAGAATTTTTGTTTTCTTGGTGTTGAGGTGTAATCTCTACTGAAAAATATAGTCTTTGATCTTCATCAGTAAGTTGAAGTGAAGTCTTCACTTTAAGTAAAGAGTATTATTATATCATTTGCACATCAGATTATAATGAGCCTTACTCTGCTTCTGATGCTGCATTCCTCATCTAGTCTTAACTTCTTGGATTATTTGCTTAGCATACCGATTGAATAATTATGGTAAACGGATATAATACTGAGGCATAGCTGAACAAGGGGAATCTTGCCTCTGGTAACCACTAATAAACTTTGTATATATTTGTTCTTTCTGTAAGTGAGGTCATACAACATTTGTCCTTTTGTGACTGACGTATTTCAGTATAATGTCTTCAAGCTCCATCTATATTATAGCATGCGTCAAGACTTTGTTTCTTCTATTGGCTGAATAGTATTCTATTGTATGTATTGTCTGTTAAAAAAAAAACACATTTTGTTTATCTATTTAGGTTGTTCCCACGTTTTGACAGCTGTGAACAGTGCTGCAGTTAACTCTGGTATATAAGTCTCTGAGGCTGCTTTTCAATCTTTTGGTTATATAGCTAGGAGTAGAATTGCCGAGTCATACGGTAGCTCTAGTTTTAGTTTTCTGAGCCTCTTTTTTTTTTTTCTATTCCTATAATCTAGACTGAAACTTTAAAAGTAGGAAGGGGAAGAAGAGATGGCTAAGCCTGGTGGCCCTGGCAAGAAATTGACCCCAGATGTCTTCTACTCACTGGCTTCTCAGTTGGCATTTGGTGGGGGACCCTCCACAAAAACCTTTCCAAGACTTCAATTTAGGATACTGATGTGTGTACAGAACAGTTATCTCCATTCCCAACAGGAATGCTTTTGATTCTGGCCCTTTCCTGAAACTTCAAGCCTGGGGTTGGCTAATTGGCTCCAACAAGTCTCCAGCTTGGCATTATTCTTTGGGCTCTTCTGAGGAGGAAGGCTCTCAGTTGTTAAGAGTGCAGTTAAGGAGGCCCACCTGTGGCAGGGGAGCCTGGATTCCTTTGAGTGTGGGATATGGCAATGGTGCTTCTGCAGATGGAAGCCAGTAGCTCATTGTGGAGGGAGCTTTTGTACAGAACACATTTATGAATATAAAGGAGCTGTATCTCCTCCTTGGAGTCTCTGCATAAGGGAAGCTGTAGTGCACTGCATTGTTTCCTCTGAATATTTTTCTTCATTTCATTCTTGAAGGACTACCGCCAACTCCAGTCCAGCTGCTCTATCCAGTATCCCGATTCAGCAATGTCAAATCCCTCCAGCACCTTTGCAGATTCCGGATCCGACAGCTCGTCCGGATAGATCACATCCCGGATCTCCCACTGCCTAAGTACAATGGGGTCATTAGGGTTGGGGCAGGAAGGAAGGGCTAGTTACAAATGTTAGTGAAGCTTACAAGAGCATTGCATAAGATATTCCCGGGCTCCATCTTTTCACTTCTCCTGTCCCTTAGCACCTAACTAGAACTGACACATTACAGCTAGAAGGGAGGAAGGTGTTTGTGTTGGCTCCCTTCTGTAGTCTTCTTGAAGGGAGTAGTACAAGTGGTAAGAGTGAGAGAGACAACTATATGAAGTGAGAAAATGGATGTCGTTAGGTCAGCAAACAGTTTTTGGCATAGTCTCAACCCCATAGGACCTGAAGAAGGAAGGGTTGAACAAAAGAGGTATTTCTTTTATAATCTATATAAATAATACTTTATGTGTATCCCTCTTGTTTGTTTTTTACAGACCTCTGATCTCTTATATCCGAAAGTTCTACTACTATGATCCTCAGGAAGAGGTATATCTGTCTCTAAAGGAAGCGCAGCTCATTTCCAAACAGAAGCAAGAGGTGGAATCCTCCACGTAGCGAGGGGCCCCAGGCTGGTCGCCATCAAGGGTATGCTCTCCCTGGCAAGTGACATCTCTCCCTGGGCTGTTATCATCCTACATGAGTCTCCTCCTTCCACACCCCTGCCTGTTAGGTGTATACCTGACCCAGATATCCACTGGCTGAGGAAAATTCTTCTCATATGAGTAGAGTCCTGAGTGGGGCACATGGAGTCTGTGCTGCAAACAGTTAAGTACTTGATGTCTAGCCAAAAGGGCAGCAGTTCAGACCCACCCAGAGCCACCTCAGAAGACAGACCTTGTGATCTGTTTCTAGAGGTCTCATAGAATTGAAAACCTGATGGAGCAGTTCTCCTCTGCACACTTACGGTTGCCATGTATCAGAATCAGTTATACAGCAACTAAAAGCAACAGGTCACTTGGCTTGACTGGGAGAAGAACAGACAGACATGAGAGGTCTAGAGAATATTTACCAAGGGATGTACAAACTCATCCCTCCTGGGAACAGGGATGGATAAGGAGGACATACAAGTGTAGCAAAGGGTGCAGCTTTCTATCACACTTACTTTGGCTGATCTCTTAATGCAAGAAAATGATACATAAAGCAGGAAACCAAAGGGGAAGAGAATTGTCAAGGCAAATGCAAAGCTATCTAATGTAACAGGCCTTCCCTTCTGTGCGAGTTCCACCATGTCCCACAACTTGGAATATGGGCATGAGGGAACACAGCCTGTTCTTCCATTTAAAAAGTTCCATTTGAGTCTCTGAAAAGTACATTGTTCAAGAGAATAAGTGAATTAACTGAAGAGTACATTTATCTACGAGGCTATCACCCATTGCTACATTAACTTGCTTATTTTCCCATAAAATATCTTGGAATAGTGGTTTGTGCAGATGAATTCTAATAAGTCTCTTAAATCACATTAAAGTGAACATTGGAAGATAGAAGCAAATAAGGAATGAAGTGGCTGGAGAACTACGGTTTTGGTAGCACTGGCTGTCGAATGAAGAGCTGCCACTGCACAGTGGCTCCCATGTTTCCATGTAGTTTGGAGTGTCCTTTTTAAGTTCTGAAGATTTCTGGTTCTCTTTTAGCCTTCTTGTTCCCTAATCTCATCCCTCACATAAAACAAGCTAAGAGGAAAAACAAAACATAAGCAATGGCCTTAGAATGAAAAGGGGGCTTTAATCTCCCTATGCTCTCTACTATCTTCATAAAGAAAGAGACTGCTGATGTTTTCCATAGTCATGGCCAAGGCGAACCTAGCTATATTCCTTCCTGGCTGTCGAATTCTCTGATCATGCGCTCTTAGGGAAAGGCACGTGAGCCAGGTTACTAGGATTAATACGAGAGGGAATCAAGAAGAGAAATTTAAAAATGGTAACTTTGGGAGGCTGCAGAGTTTTAAAGGCTCCTGGCCTGATTGCATAATCTCTTTAACTATATCTTCACTTATATGCCCTCAGATGTAACTCCTAGAACATTTCGGCAATGGGAGGAGTTAAGTCTAGGAGAGCCTGCTAGTTGATTTTGCAGTAGAGATTAGGTTGGATGGGAGGGGAAAGGAGGTTCACTCCTTGCCCTTGCCCTTGAGGAGTCACTAGGATTCCTCAGTTAATTAGCATACTGCTTCTTTGGGTGCCCTTGGAAGAACCCAGATGAACAGGAGGGCGTTCAGAGAAAAGAGCCTCAGGGTTATTCCAGGATCCAAACTTCATCATATAGGGAATAAATGATGGGAGTAGAAATAGTTAACCTGGAGCAAAGATGTTTTAGGGTCAGGAAGGACTTAATAGCAGAAAGAAGTATATGATGGATTTTCAGAAACAAGAGATTATGCTTAATTCTGTGTTGTCTCAGAAGGTAGGATAAGGACCCAAATGGATGTAAGTTATATAGAATTAGGTTTTAGCTCAACTGTGTTGTTGATTAGTGCCATTGAGCCAGTTCTGGCTCATAGCGACTCTGTTTAGGGTTTCCAAGGAGCAGCTGGTGGATTTGAACAGCCAACCTTTCAGTTCAAACCAACCTCACAATCCAGTGCTTATCCTACAGCACCACACCAGGACTCCAGTCCAACTTTGTTGTTGTTAAGTGCCCTCGAGTCGATTCCAACCCATAGTGACCCTGTGCGGGGTTTCCAAGGAGCAGCTGGTGAACTTGAACCACCAACCTTGCAGTTCAAACGACTTTGCAGTCTGACACATTAGCTCACAGCACCACACCAGGACTCAGTCCAACTTTGTTGTTGTGGTTATGTGCTGTGGAGTTGGTTCCGACTCATAGCGACCCTGTATAGGGTTTCCGAGGCTGTGAATCTTACGGGAGCAGAAAGCCTCACCTTTCTCCCACGGAACAGCTGGTGTTTCGAACTGCTGACCCTGAGGTTCGCAGCCCAATTTGTAACCACTACGCTACTAGAACTCCTTCAGTCCAACTTTAGGAGAATGTTTTTCACATAGAGGTCCAAAAATGGAATTGTTTTCTTCAGATATGGTGAGTTCCTCAGATTTCACACATGAAGCAGAAATCTCTGGTAGCATAGTAGTTCCAAGGTGGGCTGCTAACCTCAAGGTCAGCAGTTTGAAACTACCAGTGGTTCCACGGCTTTCTGCTCATGTAAAGATTTACAGCCTTGGAACCCCTGTGTAGGGTCACTATGACTCCGTGGCACACCACCACCGTAGTACTTTTGGGTGGATTCCTGGTGTAGTGCTGTGGGTTAATACACTCGATTGCAAGGTCACTTTGAACTGTAAGATCAGCAATTCAAGCTCACCAGCTGCTGCTTGTAAACCCTATACAGGGTGACTATAGGTTGGAACTGACTCAATGGCACTTAACAACAACATAATGCTTTTAGGAGCCCTGGTGTGGTGCTGTGGGTTAATGTGCTGGACTGCAAAGTCAGGTTGAAAGACAAGGTTAGGGGTTCAAGCTCATCAGTTGCTCCTTGGAAACCCTGTACAGGTTCAGTATGGGTTGGAACTAACTCAACATCACTTAACAACGGCAGTAACATAGTGCATTTGGAATAGAGTGCTTAATAAGACGGTCAAGGGCCCTACTCTTGTGGGGCTTCTACTTAAGTAGAAAGAGACAGGCAGCAAACATGTAAATAAATGGATAGGATCATTTTAACTGGTCATAACATGTTAGGAAGATAAAACTGGGTGAAGTTTAGTGACTAATGGTAGGATACTGTTCAAGTTTAGATGATTAAGGAAGGCATCTGTGAGGAAGTGGCATTTCAACTGAGATCTTTGTATCAAGGAATCAGCACGAGGCTCTGGGACAGCATTCTGGGCAAGGGGACCTCTAAGATGCCCTGGGATGGGAAGGATGTGCTGTGATCAGGTTCAGGCTGAGTGGTAGTAGAGGCGGTCATGACCTGGCAGAAGGATTGAACAGAACTCGGAGGGTTCCTTTTTGCTGTGTCATTGTCTTTGTTATTTATGGCAAAACCCTAGGACCCCTTGAACAAAAGAAAGTATCACTTCCCAAAAGGAAAGATCTTGAAGATGTGACATTTGGCCCTTAAATAGCCTTGGCTATATGTGCTGTTACCTGGGGATTTCCTATCAGGGTACTGAGTAACAGAGCAGTGCCTGTCGTAAAATCAGAAGGTAGAAGCTGCACTGGCCTTTGGGATTATGCAAGGGGGCTTCAAAAGGGTCATGAAAAATTCCATTATCTTTCCATTCCATTTTTCCATGAACCTTTGGAAGCCCACTTGTGTATTAACTAACCTGGAAGCTACAGAAACCTAGAGGTGTTTGTAGCCAGACTCAAATGGAATTAATCCACAGCTCTGTTCCCTTTCTAGTCCCTAGTACAGGTGGGTCTCATGGAAGACGTGGGAAATTAAGAAGTCATGAAAAGGGACCAAGAAGTTAGGTGATGTGGGTGGTTGGCTAACTCAGGCAGGCAGCTGACAAAGGCCAGCGTCACATTCCTACTGAGTCACAGTACTTGTGGATGCATTCAGCTATCCAAGCTCCATTCTTCTGACTATTCCTTCATTCCATTTTGGTTCTATTTTATTGAACAATTGTAATTTCCTTTTTTATCTAGGCATTTGATTACCTAGCTCCAGTTATGAAGAACCAAATGAAGGTGCCACGAAAAGAGCAGTGAGGAAAAACGTGAAATAGAAAGGGTCTGCAATTTCTACACCAAGACTTTGGTTCCCCTACGTGGCCCTGGGGCTCGGAAGAAGCACACAAGCATATTCTCTGAGCGGGGCTTCACTTTTCACAGCCAATCCCCTGGTATCCTGGAACTGGATGAGCTCCTTGGAAAACTGAAAGAAGTCTCAACACTGGTTCTTTTTCAGAAGTTTTATTTTTTATATTTCTATTTCTCGGTATGGAAACCTCATCTTAAAGGCAGCTGGGGTTTGTGCCCATTGGACTGGAAGTAGTATGAAAGATGAGCAGGTCTGAAGGAAGGGAGGGGAGGAGACAGGACTGCCAGTTACTGTCATTCAGCTGGTGCCAAAGGCAGAGTTAGAGTCTTCACCGTGACCTTGACGAAAGGAAGAAAGGGCCAGAGAAGTGTAGAACAAGATTGGGAGAGTCGGAGGGAATGAGAATTGCTTCTGCATTAGGTAGCTTCAGCAGAAGAAAGCAAGGAGGGTGTGTCTCTTTTAGTCTCAAATAGAAGATTATTGGACAAAAACTGGTACGTGCCCCCTTGGCCTAGGGGAAGTAGTGACTCCTCACATCCTATCCTTTTCAAGTTTAGGAACCTGATTTCACAGTCATCTCTCATGGAAACTGTTTTGTTATTTGTTAGTTAATTCCCAAGGTCTTTGACCTCACATTAGCCCTGTTGTTTCCTACCTCCAACACATATCTCCCCCCTCCCCCACCCCCACGCTGTGAATTTGTGGTAACGTCATCCCTGTGGTTTCTGCCAGCTGTCCAGGCAATACTTTTTCATATCACCTGAGCAGTTCAGAGCTCCAATCCTATTAAAGTTAATGGAGCATGCGTCCAGATTCTTAATGGCAAATTGGACCCATGACCTGAGAGTCAGTGCTACCTC